TGTCACAGACATGAAAATCAGGCTTTTTTCATTCCAATTTTAATTCCCTTCTGTCCCAATGTAAAATTTGCTGAAAGTAATCAATTTTTAAACTAAAACTGATCCCTTAGAGGCTTTAAATATGCAGTATATGTATATCAGTCTAGTATGACTTGCTACAATTACTTGATTTTCTTTGCCTTCTTTCCCATTGGTAAAATGGGGGTGACAGCACCTACTTCCCAGAGATGTTACAAGATTTAGGTAGTAAAGTGATTTGAAGCTATAATGTCGTGGTCACCAACCAGTAGATCGTGATCTACCAGTAGATCTCAGGGGCTCTAAGAGTAGCTCTTGAGCCCTCTCTGAACTGCACGCCTGCGCAGTACATTTACATTAGATTTCCTCATTTGAGGAGCAGCTGCTCACCGAGCAACAACACAGGTGAGTGGCTGCGAGGAATGGTGGGAGCTGGGAGGCCGGAAGGGCTGAAACACCCCAGCCAGCTGACTGTGGCTTTCAGCTGAAAGAGGCTGCCCTGCACTCCAGCTGATCGGCGGCTTCTCCTCTGCGCCTGCCCACATGGAATTTGGTGCACCCTGGCTGAGCGCCATGGCCAGCTGGCTGGGCAGCTGTTTCTCTTCCCTCCAGCCCGGCTGCCCTGCGCTCAGCCCGGGAAGCTTGCTCCAGCACAGCTGGAGCTAGGCGCAGCCTCCCTGGGCTGAGCACAGGGCAGCCGGGCTGGAGGGAAGAGAAGCAGCTTCCCAGCCAGCTGGGGGTGCACCCCGCTCCAAGTGGGCTGGTGCAGAGGAGAAGCTGCCTGGCCAGCTGACTGTGGCCTTCATCCCAGAGGAGGCTGAACCACACTCCAGCTGATCGGGCGGCTTCCCCTCTGCGCCTGCCCATGTGGAGCTTGGTGGCACCCTGGCTGAGCGCCATGGCCAGCTGGCCGGGCAGCCACTTGTCTTCGCTCCAGCCCTGCTGCCCTGAGGTCAGTCCGGAGGGAGCGTGGATCGGAGGCTTCCCTCCGTGGCTGGTGTAAGGAACTCCCTGCCCCCAACCTTTTCCCTCTCCTCTGCCCCAAACTTGTCCCCCACCCTCCTGGCCCCCTGTTCCCTCTCCCTTGCCCCCCCAACCCCGCTGCAGAAACCTGCCCCCCCTGCAGAAACCAGTTCCTTCTGGCCACTAGAAGTGACTGCAAAACACAAACACAGACAGAG